ATAGACAGCAACGGATATTAAGACGGGGATATGCTAACGAGTTGCTGTTCAAATGCTGTAGAAAGGTAATATAATTCGATTTGACACTGTACGAAACTAGAATATCTAAAAGCTAATTTGAGGTGTAGATCCCCCCAGGTAAAGTTCTCGTTATCGGGGCTGGTGTAGCTGGTCTCAGTGCCATTGGTTCCGTACGTATCTTGTCCGCCCCAGTAATTATGAATGCCCATGCTTTTCCTCTAACTGCGCACGTAGGCCCGTCGTCTTGGAGCAATTGTCCGAGGGTTTGATACACGATCAGCCGCACGCGAGCAAGTACAGTCTCTTGGTGCTGAATTCATCGAAGTCGACATCCAAGAAGAAGGCTCCGGTGCTGGTGGCTACGCGAAGGAAATGTCGAAGGAGTTCTTGGAAGCTGAAATGAAGCTATTCATGGAACAGTGCAAAGAAGTAGACATTGTGATCACCACTGCTTTAATTCCCGGAAAACCAGCGCCTAAGTTGATCAAGAGAGAGGTATGCATTTGCTTATATCGACCACATAGCTAAGGGCATTCCGCTAAAGTTCGTGATACAGATGGTAGCAGCAATGAAACCAGGCTCTGTCATAGTTGATCTAGCGGCTGAAGCTGGTGGAAATTGCGAATTAACTGTTCCCGGACAATTGACTGTTGAAAACGGCGTTACCATTATTGGTTTGTCTCACGCTCGATTTATGTCGTCGTTTTTTGCTAACGCTCTACTAGGATACACGGATCTTCCTTCTCGACTTCCAACACAGTCATCCACTCTATACTCCAATAATATCACCAAATTCCTTCTCTCCATGGCCCCAGAAGAAAAGAAATTTGGCATCGACCCTACAGATGAGGTTGTTCGTGGCTCAATTGTTACTGAAAATGGCGAAATCCTCCCCCCCGCTCCTCGACCTGCTCCCCCTCCCGCTCCAGCTCGCAAGACTGCTGATCTTTCCAAGGAGAGTGCTACCCTAGCCCTGACCCCATTCCAGAAGATCTCTCGGGAGGTTGCCACCGTAACTGGTGGAATGGGTCTAGCAGTAACCCTCGGGAAGATCACAGGCCCATTGTTCATGAGCAACGTATTTACCGCTGGACTTGCCTCGCTTATTGGCTATCGTGTTGTTTGGGGAGTAGTTCCTGCTCTACACTCCCCGTTGATGAGTGTAACGAACGCCATCTCAGGTAAAAACGATTCAACTCCTTTAACTGAAAAGAGTTAACTCACGAAAATCATAATCTAGGCATGGTTGGTGTGGGCGGCCTATTTGTCATGGGGGGAGGGTTTGTTCCTGAGACCGTTCCGCAGTTCCTCGGCGCATTATCGGTCCTGTTGGCATTTGTAAACGTATCTGGCGGTTTCGTCATCACCAAGCGAATGTTAGATATGTTTAGACGTATGCTTTCATCAAGTTTCCTTTTCCACTTCCCTATCCAAAGCTTCATAACTAACAATCTCACGAACATCAGGACCGACGGATCCCCCTGAATATCCTTGGTTATACGCCATTCCCGGCCTGTTGTTTGGTGGAGGCTTCATTGCAGCCGCAAGCACCGGTATGGCTGGCCTTGTGCAAGCCGGATATCTTGTTAGCAGTCTCCTGTGCATTAGTACGTCGACCCATTTTAGCTCCTCCCATATTATCACCCTCTAACGCACGCATCTAGGCTCCCTTTCTGGCCTTGCTTCTCAAGCGACGGCGCGGCGAGGCAACATCTTAGGTATATTGGGTGTAGCTTCCGGAATGCTCGCTTCCCTGGCTGCTGTGGGCTTCTCCCCTGAAGTTCTTGCGCAGTTCGTCGGAGTTGCTGGGTTTGGAGGTATTGTTGGTGAGTAGCTCAATTTTTTTAAACCCTGATCGGTTTACATACATCGAGAAGAAAACATAGTTCTAATTTATTTAGGCGCCTTGATCGGTCGTCGCATTACGCCAACTGGACTGCCACAAACCGTTGCAGCATTGCACTCCGTTGTCGGATTGGCTGCCGTTCTTACCAGCATTGGAAGTGTTATGGCAGATCTTGGACATATTTCCACGCTCCATCTTGTCACTGCATATATGGGAGTTGTCATTGGTAATACCTCTTTCAAAAAAAAATGTTTTCTAGACACAGCTAATTGACCATAGGTGGCATTACTTTCACTGGTTCAATCGTCGCCTTCCTCAAACTAGCGGGACGGATGGCTTCTCGTCCCACTATTATACCCGGCCGGCACGTAATTAACGCATCTCTCCTCGGAGGAAATGCCGCTCTGATGGGAGCATTTGTCACCATGGCCCCAGGTGCTCCTATGACCGCAGCGTTATGCCTGGGGGCTAGTACGGTACTCAGCTTTTTGAAAGGATATACTACAACTGCTGCCATCGGTGGTGCTGATATGCGTACGTTTTTGTCCCACGTCTGAAAGTGTGTTTGTTTATACAGATTCAACTAACTAGAGATATCATTTCCCCAATAGCCGTGGTAATTACCGTTTTGAATGCATATTCTGGGTTTGCGCTGGTTGCGGAGGGCTTCATGCTCGACAACCCCCTATTGACCACTGTCGGATCACTTATCGGAGTCAGCGGTTCTATTTTGTCATACATTATGGTAAATTCCTCCGTTTTCGACTCTCTGTTACTCCTGTCTTTACTAACATGATACTCTTCAGTGTGTTGCTATGAATAGATCCCTGACCAACGTGCTATTTGGTGGCATATCCTCCACAACCGCTACGGATCACAAAATTGAAGGACAAATTACTAAAACATCGATCGATGAAACGGTGGATTCCCTTGCTAATGCAGAGAGCGTTATAATTGTACGATCTGAAATAATAGTTCCCTCAATTCTATCCTAGATAACTGACTGTCTCCCAGGTTGTCGGCTATGGAATGGCTGTCGCGAAAGCCCAGTATGCAATCTCGGAGATCACACGAATGCTGCGCGCCAAAGGAGTGAAGGTCAGATTCGCAATCCACCCCGTGGCCGGCAGAATGCCTGGGCAATGCAACGTCTTACTAGCAGAAGCCTCTGTGCCATACGATAGTAAGTGACCTTTCCGAACCTTGACATGAACACATGTAAACTAACAATTTTTACGCCTGCTAGTCGTACTGGAGATGGATGAAATCAACGATGATTTCGATGACACTGACGTGACGCTGGTTATTGGTGCTAATGATACCGTCAACCCGATCGCGCTGGAGCCCGGCTCTCCGATCGCTGGCATGCCCGTTCTAAATGTTTGGAAGAGCAAGGAGGTCATTGTCATGAAGCGAGGCATGGCTAGTGGATACGGTCAGCTTAACTCCCTATTTAATATTTATCTTGCGTTACGCCAGCCTCTGTTTTCTCTCAACAAGGAGATGAAAAGGCGCTCGAAGCTGCAAAAAAAAATTCACCCATGACCGGTTTGAAACTAACCACTTTGTGATCAACCTATGTTATAGCCGACGTACCGAACCCCATGTTCTACATGCCCAAGACAAGGATGTTGTTCGGAGACGCGAAGACTTCCTGCGATGGTAAGATTGATTGATCGCATCTCAAAATGGTCCAGAACTCCCCGGTTTACTTTTCCCAGTTAGCTAACCAACCTACGAAAACTAACTAGCAATCCAACGCGGTCTCGAATCGCGGAAATGAAATCGTAAATCGCCGGTTGGATGAAACGACAAGATCTAACACTAACTGTTGACTGACTCTATCCTCGCATCTACGACAAGGATTTAGCCCATAACAAACAACAACATGGCCTTGCAGACAGAAAAACAAAGAAATAAGAGATAAGAGAGAAGAGAGAAGAAAAGGAAAGAAAGGAAAATAAAATAGAGAAGAGAAGAAAGAAAGGAGGAATTCATTGCAGCCGTATGAAACCGCTAACCAAGATAAGAAGTCAAACTCAAACGGCAACAATTACGCAGCAAGGATATCTCACCCAAATACCATACTTCTTTCCTTGCTCTCGCCCACTGACCACTAACCACTGCCGTCTGTCGTCTCTCGTCTGCCCTCTGCTCGTCGAAAACAGAACTTGGGGGCCGGGGAGGGAGGAGAAAACGGAAGCGTGTTTAGAAACAGAAACAAACGAACTATCTTTTCCTTCCCCTTTTCATCTTGTTCTCATACACTCACTCACTCGCAGTACATGTGCCAAAAAGAGAGGGAGAAAAAAAAGGAGTGATTTTTTTCCCCGTTAAAGAATGAAAAGCCCTAGCTGCTAGAAAAGAAAACCACTGAAAAGCGAAAAGATCTATCTTGCCCTTCCTTGCCTTGGCCCCCCAAATCGCATATATTTAGACGGTTTTCTTGTTTTCTTTTTCTTTTTCTTTTTTGTTTCCCTATTCTCATTCCCTTTCCTTTTCTCATCTTTTTCTCTTTCTCTGTTCTTCTTTCCTGCTCTTTCTTCGTAAGACCGGGAAAGCAAAGCAAGCAAAGCAAAGCAGGCAGGCAGGCAATACCATATATAAAGGACGTGAATATGCATGCATACCCATTCAATTCCATGTTGATTGGTTGATTGATAATACATATTGTTAGCTAGATCATCCCGTTCCCATCCCACCAACCCCTTTTGTTTCACTTTTTCGCTTTTTTTTTTTTTTTTAAACCTCTTCCATTTCCTTTCCTGGCCGCTCTATTGATTTCCGCGTTCCCTTTTCCTTTTTCCTTTTTCCTTTTTTTGGATTTTGATTTTGATTTGTTTTGCTCCAAATTCCGCGCGCGCTGCCTTGCCATTTTCATTTTTCATTCATTTTTCATTCAGTTCCACATAGTTTGGCATGAATTTCCCATCCCCATCCCCATAATTTCGTTACTCCTTAGTTATATATACATACTGCTCCTTAGTCCGATATCGATATCTGTCATCTAACCGCGCGTAGCTAGCTACTACTCCCTTTTCTTTTCTACATCTTCCCCCTGGACTAGTTAACAAATAGATAGATAGATATATACCAAAGATAGGAGGAAGGAAGTTCCATATATTGATTGATTGATTGATTGATTGGTTGATATATATCTCATACTAGGTACAATATTATTTGAAAATGTGCCCTACATACTCGTAATCCCGCCCCCTCCCCCAGGTCAGAGGGAGGGAACCCCTGAACCCACCGGCAGGATCGATCCATTCGCATGTATCTTCCTTGCATTGTAGAAAGGAAGGAATTTGGAGATAAATTTATTCTGGACGAAAGGGACAGAAAAGGAGAATCGCGAAAGAGCATACATAGCAAATTCGGACTGACTGGCAGATAGATAGATAGATGGGGCGTAGGGAACGGAGGAATAATATAAACTTTTGCTGCAGTTATGAAGAGGGTGGGCGACCTATATGGTATACTTATTATGATCATTCGAGGAAGTGAAAAGTCAAGAACGGGGTCATAGTTTTTACAGATATTTGATGATTTATATTGACGATGACAGATATTATTATTACTTATTATTGTGGTGGGCCGGACATACACTAGACATATCCAGCACATCATCTCTACGCTGTACACTCACCCTATCTCTCGTCATATTGAATTTTCATATTTGTTGAGAATCTAGCTCATTCTAATACTAATTCCAGTTTTTAACCCTCTAATCTACCTCTACACTAAGAAACTGGGTGTTGGAAAGGGGATGGAGAGTGTTAGAATAGATTAGTAATGTGTGTATTATGTGTGAGTGTGTATTTTAGAGCTTTGGCACCACGTTTAAGCGTATGCCCTTTGTGGTTGGGATGAATTACGTATTAATATAGCCAATAGATTAGAGCACCCAGTTAGCAAGAATGTGGAGGGAAGGGTTATCAATGACAAAATAGGAAAACAAAAAAAGAGGATGTAACCACAAACAAAAAGAGAGGAAATTGACTTGGGTATTGGGGTATCATTCACGTCCACCTCGCAAACAGTTTTTTTTGGGGGGTTTTGTTTTGTTTTTTTTTTCGAGAAAAATAATACAGCAGCAGCGCGCACCAAAAAGAAAACAATATTAACGAAAATAAATAAGGAAATGAGCGACACGTATATCGAGCATGTCTCGTTGAATAAACATTTTCGAAGACCGGAGATTAGAGTGGCGGGTGCGAGCAGTGAGGGGAGGGTTTGCAACCTGCGGTGCGCACGACAATTTTTGACATCATACAGGGGATTTTTCTCGTTTGCTGTTTTTTGGTTCTTTTCTTTCGTTTAAGAAGAAAAACGGAGGGGGAGGGAGCTGCTGGGCTATAGTTCTTTGCCGTGGTTGTTATTGGAGGGGAGGGACTACGATCATCCAACTAGGCAGTTGACACGCCAGGACTAGACAAGTACCGCTGGTCCCACCACTTCTCGATCTCAACGAAGCTCGTCCTGGCGCCTGCACTTCATGCAGCAGCTTGGACGGGCTGTGAAGAAGATGATGTTGGGGCAGTAGCATCTGCCTTCTCCTCGGCCTCAGTGCCGTTCACAGCGGCGGGGGGGTCGGCTGGGGCATCCTTGCTGATTGGCTCAGGTTTCTCAGCAGCCTCTGGAATGGGCTCGGATTCTGAAGTGGCAGCAGCAGGCTCTTTCTCCTTTTTGCCGGCCTTACTGACACGGCGGAAAACTCCTCCGAACATTTGGCCGGGGGACTTCGCCTTGTCCTCCTCAGTAGCTTGCTCGCCATCAGTTGTGGACTCCGGCTTCTTCTCTTTCTTGGAGCCAAGGGTTCCGAAGAGGGAGGTGCGACGCTTCTCCTTGACAGCGGGAGGAATGGTCTCCGCTGCAGCAGGCTCCGCAGGAGTCTCCTCGTGCTTCTTCTCAGCCTTCTCTTCAGGTTTGGCGGCCTCCTTCTTGTCCTGTAAAAAGAAATAACAAGTCAGTTGGAGTTGACGACTAACTTTGGAACGAGACCATGTCATGTGAACTTACGTCGTGCTTCATTTCCTTCTTGATGAAGTTTAGGAAGCCACTCTTGGTGGATGTTGGCGAGGCAACTGGTTCCTCGGCCTCCTTGGCGGGCTGAGCAGGTTCTCCTGCAGCAGTTACGGTCTCAGGCTTGATAGGCTCTGATGTGGAAGCATCGACGGGGTCACCAAGTTGAGGTGCAGTGCTGGAGACAGCAGTCTCTGAGGTCTTGGGAGCGCTCTCCTTTTCGGCCTTGTCCTGGTTGCCGACCTTCTGGAAGATGTTTCCAAAGATAGAGGCACGCTTGGCCTTGGCGGTGGTAGCTGGCTCAGACTTGGCCTCGGGTTTCTTCTCCTCAGCCTTTGGCTCTTCAGCGGCGGCGGCAGGAGCTGGAACAAGTTAGCTCTGTGCTCATAAAGTTATTCCAAATAGTGAAGCTTACCCTCAGCAGACTCAGCAGGAGCAGCGGTCTCAGCAGCCGGGGCCGCAGCCTCTGGCTCATCCTTCTTGTCGTCTTTAGCCTCAGCCTTCTCCTCCTTCTTTTCCTCCTTCTTCTCTTCATCCTTCTTGGCAAGGAAGTTTCCGAAAATGCTGGCGCGCTTCCGGGATTGAGATCGGCTCTTCTCCTTTTGCTCTGACTTTTTCTCCTCCTGCTCTGGCTTCTTCTCGTCCTTTTTGTCCTCTTCCTCCTTCTTCTCTCCCTCTTCTACTTCCTTAGCAGGCTCCTTCTTCGGGGTAGCAGCTGCGAGAGCTGGAGGCTTGGCTAACGTAAACTTTTAGTACGTGATTACCAGCCAAAAGTAATAAGAAAAAGAAAAAAAAATTAAAATAGAAAACATCCAAGAGAACATTGGACATCACTTACTCAATTTCTCCAGCTCAGCCTTATAACCCTCGCTAGAAGTGATGGTCTCCTTCTCGTTCTTGGCATCAGCAGCCTTGGCCTCGATGGCAGCAACCCAAGAATCGCGCTCATCACTGCTAGCAGCCTGAAAGGTATGCTTGTGTCCAGCCAATTTGAACTGGAACTCGTTACTAGACTCCTTGGTTACATCCGAGATGTCGGCCAAGTTGATGATTCCAGTGGGGGCAGTCTTGTCCTCGGCACGCTTGGCTAAAAAGAGCAGGCCCTTGCCAGTCTGGCTGGCCCATGCAGCGGTGGGATGTGCAACGCTCAGCTTCTCATTCTGGAAGTAGGTAGAGAGCTGCTTGACCTCAACGGCGTCGTCACTGAACCAGCAGAATCGCTTGGAGAAACGGAAGCCCCTATTTCAAGATTACCAAATGTTAGCTTTCCACGATTTTATATTTATATAAATGTTGTGCACGCTCAACACCGGGGTGACCTACTTAACTAATCCTGGAGCCTTGTAGCCAAGGACGCCCTCAGAAGCGGGCTTGATCTCAGCATTGGGCTCTTCCTTGGTTGGTTCTTCAGCAGAAGATGGGGCATTAGCGGCAGGTTCATTTGTAGCTGGGGCAGCAGTCTCTGCGGGGGTTTCAGCAGCAGAGGCAGCAGGAGCGTCCTTGGAGGGTTCGGTAGCGGGAGTGGCAGCTGGGACCTCCTCGACCGGCTTCTGAACTTCCGACATGTTGATGATGGGGGGTTTGCGAAAAGAGGGATGTGGAGAGTTATTAGGATGTAGTAGACAATAAGGGGGAGGAGATATTAAAAGAGGTGGGTTGACGCAAGACAACAGCGGACTCGAAGCAGCTTCGACTTGAGGAGGATATCGATATTAAGTAAGGGGGGTTAATAATAGTAAATCGGTGGCAATCGGTGGCAATATAGCGTAGGGTATCTCTAGGTATATATATTTTTTTTTGTTGGTTGGGGGGGGGGGGGGGGGGGTATCTCAGGAAGGAAATAGAAAGAGAAATTGATAGATGATATAGGAGAGAGGACCTCAAGCAGAAGCACAAGCAAAGAGAACGCTGGGTATCACAATATGGAAAGGGAGCTGAACAGCTGGTGGAAGAGATGACACACACAGGGAGAGGAGAGAGAGAGAGAGAGAGAGAGGAAAAGAAGAGGAAGAGGAAGAAGAAGAGGAAGAAGAAGAAGAAGAAAGAAAGAAAAAGAGCCGAGCAGCTGAAGAAAAAGGGAAAGCGGAAAGGTAACTAAGCGAGAAACCTTGGGTTCAACGTATTAATTGTCCCCGTACTGTACTGTCCCCGTATCATGGCGTACTGCTTGGGGTCTAGGCAGCGGAAAGGGGTGGTCTGCGGCGGTGTCAGGTGTTCCCCTTCGGCCAATTGGCAGCCGTTGAGGGCGCTGTTCTTGCATGGTTGGATGGGATGAAAGGGCGTAATGTACGTGTACCGTACTGTCCCCCAAAACCAACCGCCTATCTTTTGTGGAACCGGGCCAGTCAAACTTACCAAAGTTACAGAGCGTCTGGTTACGGACCCCTCCCTCCCCCGTACAGCCAATTGCCTAGCGGTTTTACCGCTGCCAAACTCCACCTGCAAGCTCCCAAGCTCCCCTGGTATTGTGTGTAAATTACGGGATTACGGGATTACGGGATCACCCTTCCCTTGAATGACGGTTGCTTCCAAGGTTGCTGCTGCTTTTTCCATGCTTTGGAATTGGGGCAAAATATATATATATTATTATTAAGTAAAAAGGGTTGGAATAATAACGAAGTTAACTACAACAAGTAAGTAATAACACAACATATAAAATGCTCCAAATATCCCCTCATATTCTCATATTGTTTAACCTGCTCTCCGCCTCTTATCATTATTTAGTCGTAGGTTGTTCGAATCATCGCAATTCATTATCTTATTTACTCTGTTCGACTCGACTGTGGATTCCCTGTCGGTCGGTCGGTCGTTCCTCTTCATAAGCTAACAAAGCTAACAAGCTCCAGCTAACAAGCTCACTCCCAAGAGCACGCCCAGTCTTCTTCAAAGCAAAATAATCGGCTGGGACCAGGATGATGAATGGGGCATGCCAGTGGATATATCTGACCTGCCTAACAGTGCTAAGCAGCTCGGCTCCACCGCACTATTTATATTTAACCCATTAAAATAAATCCAATCCATGAATCATGATGATATTTTTTTTTCCTTTTTTTTTTTTTTTTTTTTTTTTTTTTTTTTTTTTTTTTTTTTTTTTTCCTACTCGCTCACTTGCCAACCGAGTAGTGAGTAGTAGAGGCAGGGAAAAAACGAAGAAGGAGGAAAAAGCAGCGCATTGTCCGCCGCCCCCGTTCGTTCGCCCAGCCATGCTCTGTCAAAGCCTCATGCCAGCCACCTCCTCTCCTGCTCCCAGCCACGAGTAACAAGCAACAGACAGCCGCTGGCCAAACAAGCCTGCCTTGAAGTGAGCGTCCCCTATAACTCGTACGTAAGAAACTGGGAAAGTACAGTAGAGCAGTGGAGCGCCTTCACAGGAACAGGCCAAGGTTGATGGGGAAAAGAGAGCCAAAAAAGAAAGAAACGAATAAGGAAAAGACGAGAAAGGAAAAAAGGTTAGATTTCGGGCTGTTCCTTGGTGAGGATTCGGAGGGATGTCCCCGCCCGAAGCTTCGGAAAACCCAGAATCGCATTTCTCCATCCCATCCCATTCCATTTTTATTTTTATTTTTATTTTTATTTTTGGCTCTTTTTTATTTTATTTTTTAACCTTTTTGCTGCATCTACGCTGTACGCTGTACGCTGTACGCTGTAGAGACCACGCAATCACATGCCTCCCGAATTCCTTCAACTAAATGCTGGAGTCCATGTGTTCATGGATGGAAAATGCGAAGCGATCTTATCCCTCCTAGTAGCAATCATGACATATAACTACTCACCGCAGAATCTTTTGTATTGAAACACCCGAGAATCCCGATCTGCTGCTGCCGCGCCTGAGCACTCGTTCATGCGTACAAGGTACAGGGGGACGGCGGTTATCCTATTACCATCATTATTATTATTCAAAAAAAAGGGGGGGGGAAGCAGAAGAGGAGGGCGCCCGAACTCCTTTTAACTAAAATTTTTAGTTCAGCTTAAGGAACAAAGACTCCACAGTAGTAAACGACAAGCAGCAAGTGGCAGTAGCGTGATTGCTAAGAACTTTCTTTTCTTTTCGTTTCTTTTTTTGGGGGGGGGGCGGTCCTGTGGTCGCTAGCGTGTCTATTCCAGCTCAGTATCAACACCCGTTTCTATGGGGGAAAAAAAATCGATAGAGAAATGGCGAGTAGGTATGGCATGAGTACTGAGTACTCCGTACACAGTCTAGACATATGAGTCTTGGGGTGAAAAGAGAGGTGTTCACTCACCAGGTGTTGGGAAGTGTAGGATAAGTTGATCTTACGAGGAATCTATATGTGGGGCACGTGATCTAGGATAGTCATAACGGATTTGTCAATAATAATAGTGAGCACCAACCAACCAACCAAGCAGCAGCAGAGAGAAAGAAGAGCGGCAGGAAACCTGTGCTGAAAAGATAAGATATAGTTACGCTGTAGACGCCCTTGCGCCGGATGTAAGTTACAGTATAACTATCAGCAAATTTCTGAATGATATTCAGCACCTCAACCAATCCTTTCTTCTCACAGCTTCCCTTGTGCCTCTCTCTCCCTTGATTGGAGCTGTTTTTCGCTCAACTGCTGTTTGGTTGAACCGCTAGTTCCTCCTCGAGATCGACAAACCCGCAGCAAGCCCTAATCAAAACACACTTCCTAGGTTGTATGCTGTACTCCGTACAGCGTAGGGATGCAACAGTAATCCCCCCATAACATACGGAGTTAACTATCATACCATACAGGGCTACCTACTACTGCCATGTACCCCGTGTGTGTATGAATGACTCGATCTCGTATTAAATAAAAAATAAAAAAATAAAAAAATAAAAAAATAAAAAAAAATTTTGTCTGGCATGATTTTGAGTTAGACTTTTGGCAGGCAGGCCAGCAGCAGCACAACAACAGCTTTTTCAGAATCTTCTTGATCAATTCTTCTCATACACACGCCACGGGGAAGAATCTGGGGAAGAATCCCATTTATTTACTGTACATTCACGCATTGCGGGATGAAATCTTATTGGGAAAAAAAAAAAAAAAAAAAAAAAGGGAGGGAAAAGCAAAGCAGGTTGCTTGTTTGAAACTTTGGGGGGTATGTGAATCATCATATGATATCAAACCACGATGATGCAATTAACTAGTTAGTCAACTAACTATATTAATGCACCAAAATGCGGGGGAGTCAGGGGAGGATGGTGTGATATCGGCATCCTGGAAGCTTCGGAGGGGGCAGGAAGGGAAGAGAGATCAGGTTTTATCTCCCCTTTTTTTTTTTTTCTTTTGCCTCAGGACGGGGAGGACGGCTCTGCTATTTTGACAAGATGAGATGGATGAAGTTGGTTGAAGCTTCGAATTTGCATATTTGTTCGTTAAATCTCCTCGTTGTCCGAAACAATGCTGCTGAGAAAAACTTCTTCTTTTTATTATGATTGATGATATCAGAATTTGAGGGCATTGATTGAGATTGACATTATGAAGTTTTCAAGAAACAAAAAGGCCTATTCCTTTTTTCTTTCTCTATGCAATTTAGTTAGCTTGATATAATAAATCATCCATTAACTTACTTGACCTGAACCAAAAGCGTGCCAGAATGTCTATATCTACTAGTTGCAGGTTGATGCACGCCATCCATGGGACCATGATTATTCTACCCATGACCACTCTTGAGCCCAAGCCCAAGCAAATTCATTAACATTACAGAGCATCCTCTCAAAAGTTTTGATTAGTGCTAAGAATTTGCTGAGAGGTAGACTAGCTTTAGTTAAGCAGCAGGCATTCATCCTCTTAGAATTATGGTTAAGAGAGGGCAGGGAAATACCTTATGGTAACAGGATTACTCCGTACAGGTTAAAAGGATCCCCCGTACACAGGAGTGTAACCAATAATGATACAGACAGAGTCAAGACATCATGCGGGCTTCCTTTCAAAAAGTATGTTTCCCTCCCTCCCGGAGGGCTTCTAGTTATCTCTTCCTCGACCGACCCCGCGCCATCACAGCACATTTGAGGGTACTCTGTACTCTGTACTCCGTCCATATCAAAGAAATCCGCAAAACACAGCATATAAGTTTCATTTTGATACTTACCTCTGAGGAAAAAAAGGTCATGACCGCTTCATTTGCCTTTTCTCCTTTCACACACCCCCTTTCCAAATCCCATTTGCGGAGTGATTAAGATGATATAGCATTTGAACGATTCCTGCCCTACCCTACCCCTCCCCTCCTCGCACCCCTCCCCCTCCCTCGTAGGCTGAACTCAATGATTCATCATCTAGCAACCAGCCCAAGCCCGAGCAAAGGCCAAGGTATGCCAGCAGCACCTCGAAACCATGTACGGTACGTTGGGATCGAGGCAAACAGGCAGATTCAATAATTGGCTGTTTACCGTCCCGCCCCCCCACTCGCAACTCCCTCCCTCTCTCTCGCATGAGCGAAGCACGCGATCAGGCTACCTTTTTTTTTAGTATTTAGTAGTGGGAAATCCCTGTATTCGGTTTGGGTGTTCTCTGTGCTCTGACGTGGGGAATCTGATTTTGATCTGATCCCTGCGAGAACGTTGGATGGCTTGGCATCAATTTTTTAAATTTTTTTTTTTAGTCCATGGATGAAATGAATACCATACGCCGTACGGAGTACATAGGAGACGAGTTTACCTGCCTTGGTTGGGAAGGGGGACGGGGGGATGGCGAGTGAGCGATGACAGCGGAAGGGGGTTGTTAACGATGCAGCCAGGGATGCAACTGGGGTTGACTGGAATGGAATGGAAAAGGGATGGGTTTCTCGGCGCAGGACGGAATAGGAGTAGTCTGGCTGTATCTAGGCATAATAGTACGGAGTAGAGTAGGCATCGATGAGTTGCGTTGAGTTGACATGGTTGGATAGATAATTTGATACAGTTTTGTCCAGTAGAGTACTCTCGTAGTGAGGGGGGCAGGTTTACCCACGTTCTCTGACTTTATTTTTAACCTTCTTCTTCTTTCTTCTTTTTGTGTCGGGTGATTCATACTGGAGATTCTCATCGAGAAGTATGGACCAATAGAAGCGTGTGAATGGATAACAATAAGTATGAGGGAGAGGAACGTCCTACGGTAACTACGCTGTACGCTGCGTACATGTCTAAACCTACATTCTCCTCTTCTCCAATTAGCTTCGTGGCTAGGGAAGAGGGAAATCGCGAAGATTGTTGAATGGATCCTGAAACACGGGAGAATGCAATAAATAAGTCATCTGATCAGGCCAGAGGAATGGGAGATTTGGAAATAAATAAAACGGGGTTGATATAGGGTTCTAGAGGCGGCGGAAACAGCCTGGGAGAGAACGGCAGAAATCATTGTAAGGGGCTGGCTGGTTAATAAAGAGTTATTCAATAATTAACCCAATAAATAATTCAATCCGTACTACGGAGTAACTAACTACTCCGTACACTCCTTGCCCTGGTATTTATGCTAAATAAATATCCAATCGTGCTCAGCGTCAAAGGATCACTCACTCCAGGGTTCTCGAAGCTTTTTCCAAAACATTCCAGACACTTTCGATCGGAACTTAACCATACACGCATAAATATTACAGTAATGGAGTACAATACGCAGGGAACAACATATGTATGTAATAACTATGATGTATGTAATTTGTTCTATGAGCGCCCTGGTATGGCCCATCTTCATCCTGTAATATACCTCTTCTTGTCCTTTCTATGAAGTAAATGAAACATACTATAAGACGCTTTGTGAGGGTCAAAATGCCTTCTGATAGGATAAGAATTGAACATAAATGTCCTTGACATAAGACTGGACTGTTGTACTCGATTATCACAACAGAGAGTGGAAAGTCTGAGTGACGTTAGGTTGTTTGGAGTTTAGCGCCGCCAAATCCACCGCGACAGCTCTCGCAATAAATAATCCATCCAACTTTCCAAAACATTCAACAAACTACAAAAAGTCAACTACCCCTCAAACCCTCCCCACCGCCCGCGACCATGATCTCGCCCTGCGACCCGGTCATCCTAAGCAGCAATCCCCAGTTCAAAGCCCTGCACCAACAGCTGACTACCGCCATCCTCAACCCCGATGGCTCCACGCGTGCACATGCTGCGGATCCGTCGCGGAGAGCGGTGCAGGCTGTAAGTCTTATGCTGGCCTGATGAGGACCTTTATTTATTTATTTATTTACTTATATATATATATATATAAGTTAGTATATAGATATCCGTTGATGGTAATGGACTGATTTCGAAAAACAGGATCTCAAAAAGTATTTGGCAAGGGCGGTGAAGGTGCGGATTTTGACGAGGATTGTTGCGCAGGTTGCGGCCGGGGATGGGAACGGGGGGTTGGATGATGAGGTGGGTTTTTCCTAAGATAATATATCTTTCTTATATATGAGGTTTATGCTGTTTTTACGATTGCATAGTTATGGAAATGTCGGGATTTACATCGTTGACTGACAAGTTGGGACTATCAAAAGCTCCGAAACCTTGTCTCCGTCATCGTCCTCTACCTTCAACACTCCCCCAATAACAATAATAATAACAGTAATAAAGACAACAACAATAACCAAATATCCCCAGACGAGACCTCGGAACTCCTCTCCCTGCTTGCCCCTGATCTGAAAAAGTTCTACTCTGCAATCCCCTCCCTCATCCCGAGCATCACCGCCCTCCTCTCCGCAGACCTCACCCATCTAAAAGCCCTCGCCAACGCCTCACCCCCAATCAACACCACAAACAACAGCAGCGGCAGCGGCAACAACAACAATGACAGACACACTCACCACACGACCATTTCCTCCCGCTCAGCAATCAACAGGAGCAACAATACCCAATCGCGCCCCAGCAACCGCCTCCGGCCCCTCTCCCTCAAACCTTCCCCAGCAGACATCTCCCTCCCAACCCAGCTATCCGGTCGCCTACGCACACTCCGTACAATCCAATCGCACGACCTCCCCACTACCCGGACCAAGATGACCATCACCGCCGCCGCTGTGCTAGCAGCGCATGCGCAGGTGATGGAGCGCGTGATACATATTCTTGAGCGGACGAAGCATGGGGTTCTGGCGCGCGGGGTTAGAGCGAGGGCGGACCATGTGGCGGTGGTGTTGGAGGGGGTTGAAGGGAAGGTTTGGTATGTTACTTTGTTTATTTTTTTATTTATTTATTTATTTATTTATTTTTTTGAGTAACCGACATGTTAAGGTGATGAGGTGGAAAAACTAATATTACTGATTACTGTATAGTATCATGAGACACGAAGTGCTCTCTGCAATCTACACGCCGGAAACCACAGCTGCTCTGACGCATTACCGCGACCATCTATATGATACACGTCTACGCTTGGCGGAGAGGAGGAAACAGGCCCTGTTAGAGCTAGAGGCTTATGAGCGGGCGGATATGGGGGAGACGGGAAAACGAGCGGCTGGCGGCGATAATGGTGAGGATGGTTCAGGGAAATCGGGGGCCATGGTGGAGATTGCCAGGAGGTATGGAACACTGGTCAAAGAGGTTGAGGGTGTGAAGATGGAGATTAGGAGGTTAGGGGGTTGATTAGGAGAAGCCATTTTCTTTTTTAAGGTTGGAGTTGCGGCAATGAAGCATGCATGCATCATTGCGGAGCGGAGCGTTTGGTCCGCCTCTCTATTATTGGTGTCATGAGAGGACTATGACTATATACCCCCTTCTTGTCATAGTGTTTTTCTTTTTAAATGTTTGGCCAAATATTTCAAGAGACCGATTCTTCCTTTTTTTGAGCATATAAACAAGGCGGGGATTTTGACTCCGCTCACCGCCCACCTTCCGTGGCAGAAAATATTTCTTGGCAACGGCAAAATAAAATCTGGACCAGATTATAATTAAACATCGGCAATATCTGACTATCACCCTGGCTATTCTTCCATCTCAGCAATGAACAGCCTATATCTACACATTTAACGCCCCAAAACCTACTTCTATCTGACCTTCCTTTCCGCCAACATACAAAATACCGCGCAGACGCAACCGAAAAAGCTCCGAATACCCACACATCACCCCCATCCCTCACCCCTCCTCAACCCAACCCCGCCCACCCCTTCTAACCAACCAAGTTCAACCACAAACAACACGATCAAACAGTCTTCAAGTCCAACACCGCATAAACCCCCCAAACAACAGCCATGGCAAACACCGACGACCTCTCAATCTACGACGAGATCGAGATCGAAGACATGACCTACGACCCCACGCTCCAGATCTACCACTACCCGTGTCCCTGCGGCGACCGGTTCGAGATCGGCATCGCTGACCTGCGTGATGGCGAGGAGATTGCCGTGTGTCCCAGTTGTAGTTTGATGGTGAGGGTTATTTTTGATATGGTAAGTTTTATTAAGCTAGGGAGGGGGAAGGAAAATGGGGAAGAAAGGTGGGGGGGGGGGGCTGTGAAAATGAGGGCAGGGAAATTTTTTTTTTTTTTTTTTTTTTTTTTTTTTTTTTTGAATGGTTGGCTAACGAGGTATTCTTTGGAAATGGAATAGGATGATCTGCCTAAAGAAGGCAACGCAAGCGCTGGCGCTGTTGAGATTACTGCGTAAAGCGTAACAATATAATAATAATAAGAATAAGAATAATGACAAGACGGCGGAATCAATCTCGCCATATGCCTCCCCTTAGGCTTATCGGGATACAAGAACGCAGCAAGGCATTTATAATAAACCCATTTCCAGCCAGAAAATCACGACAAGAAAAGGTCCGAGAGGGAGGAAATATATGAAATGGGGATGATAGCCGATCAAGAAGGCTGGAAATAGAGAGAGATAGATATATGATAGGGGTTCACGAGGGGATCCGCATATGCATGTGAACGTACATGGCCCTGTCTGTTCCTTCTGGCCTTTGTGCAAGGGAAGAGGAGGTATGTCGCTCGGGATATCTTCAGAACTTAAAGCCCGATACGGCCTACCCAATCCATCCCAATCCCAATCCCAATCCCAATCCCAATCTCGTCCTAGGATTATCACACAAATAGAATGCTTGTCCGAGGGATCAAAAAAATGATCCCGGGTTGAAGATTCTCGACTTAGGGGTGTGGGATGTGCAAAATTTTATTCTGCCTGCGCTGGTTATACTGCGGCAAGTCAAGATATATATATATATATATGTGGGATACTCCGCGCTTCCAACCATCATACAGACACCTAGCTACGTTCGTGTCTAGACCAACGGCTGCGAGGGGGGAAGAGAATATGGATGCGGCATGGGAAGGAAAATAGAAGCGAGGCCATGTGTGGTTGACTCCGTGAAAGATGTGGATACCATTGTCGTTACCCATTTTTTTTTCTTTTCTTTTTTTGGGATACGGTTGATCAAATTTTCTTCAGATTCAATGTCAATTTCTCACTTTGAAATACCCTATACGGAAATATCTGTTTTTCTCTATGCAATATATAAATAATACAACAAAAGCAATTCAGAATGCAGGAAATAGCGCACAGCATGCGAAATATCGTCGATATGGATGGCGCTCTCGATTTCGATCTCGATCTCGATCTCCATCGCCTCCATGCTCCATTGTTCCATTCATGGCTTAAAAACATAAAGTATGTACATACAGTGACAGCGTAATAACATCAACTACAACCAGTAACTAACCAACGAGCCCTCCCCTCCCCGGGCAAGAACCCCAGGGCTCTCTGTCTAAATCTCCCTTTCTCCATACACATCATACTCCATGCTCAAGCCCAGCTCTTTATTCAGCAGGGTGGTCAAATTCGAGCCGTCGCGTAGATATATCCACTGGCCCTTGATGAACTCGCGCGTGCCTTCCTTCTCATCCATGTGGTCCCCCTGGACTACCCAGTCGTAACGTTTGGGCCCTGAGACGGGCGAGCTGAGCCATATTTGTTTGTTGGGTGGTTGTTTGTTGAGCACGTAGACGCCGACGTCTGGGACGGTTATGTTGATTACGCCGGCCTGGATGGATTGGGGATGGTGGTCAGTAAATAAGAGATCGGGTGACGAAGGGAGGAGGAGGAGAGGAGTGGAGAGGGAGGGAATGGCATATGGCATGAATGGTATATTATATCCCACAACGAAGATAACACTAGATTAGGGTTCTACAGGACAAAGGGATATAGAGAGATATATACATGCATATATACATGCATATATATATAGATGTATAAAATAAATGAAATAATACATACACTATACTCCGCCTCAATATCCGACCCATTCTCTTGCAATTGCTCCACCTTCGTCAGGAGGACGTTAAAATACTCCTCCGCATATTCGCGATACTGCTCCTCCGCCAATGGCGTTGGGTGCGTCACATGGTTCGCTCCGCCGGCGATATTCGAGCTTGACGGCTCGGGATTGGGCGGAGCGGGGTCAGCGGAATGGGGTGTTATGCCCTTGCGAAGTGCAGGCGTGTTGTGTAGCTGGCGATAGTAGACTTTCACTGAGGTTTCGCATCGCAGATTTCTAGGGTTTGAAGAAGGTGATTGGGTGCGGAGAGCGGTGGAGGCTATGATAGTGGGCAGGAGAGTGGTGGTGGTCGTTGGTGAGCGGAGAAGAGAGCTAGCAGCCCGGGAGCTTGTTCGAGAGAGCATGGCGAGTGGAGAGATGGAGAGATGGAGACGGCAATGGAAGGGAATTGGAGTATGTTGCGTGTGTGTTATATATAGTAAACCCTTGCTAAGGTGAGGGAATAGTGGATATGGGAATTGTGAGGTGGTGTGAGAGAGAGTGTGTGTGTGTGAGTTGAGAGAGAGAGTTGAGTGAGAGCGCAAGTGGTCTGATAAATATGCGGCGGAGTGGTGTGATGTTGACAATGCCGAATCCTGACGCCACAACCGTAGGTCATAAATACAACGGGACAATCACCAACCGTCTCTATTATTCATCGCCTTTTGAAATTACCACAGGCTGAATATCTGTGTTTGTTTAAAACATATATATGGGTTTTAAATAGCCAAATCTTCAATTCCTCATTCTTATGGCATTCCTGGTAATATAGTTCCCACCCGTTACATGAGCACTGAGTTGAGATCTTTAAACCAGGACAAGTTCCATATAAACTCGCGAGGAATATATATATATTATATATATATGTACATATGTATATCTGCTTGAACGTGCTCCCTGCCTCTTTTGCGTTGCTATTTCTTCTGAATATTATCCTTGGAAGCCGCCCGATAGAACTTAAACACCCCATTCGTGGACATCCAGAGCTTGCCTTTACACTGCGCCTTCATGTATAGACTCGTTCGCCCGATCTATGCATATGAGCAGACTCTACTTATCTGCCAACTTTAAGAATACCTTGCACACTCCCTCCAGTCCCGCCAGCCGCTGTTTCGCCTTCCATTCCCACAGCATAACAATGACCTCCACAAACACGAACACGCAGTGCGGGGCCAGGCCATCACAGCAGAATCAAAACACCGCTGGCAAGCGCGGTGGCAGCAAGCCACGGCTAACCCATTTCCTCTGCCTGCCCTTGGTAAACTCAACCTCTATTCCACAGCTAGTATCCTCCCTATCAGAATTTCGAGATTCCATCCCACTCGTACCCCCACCTGTCTCCGCCCGAGTAGCAGCTTCGGCACAGCTCCCTGACACACCCCTTTTCCCTGATGGAGCACTGAGACCGCTGGGCACTCTGCATCTGACTCTTGGGGTCATGAGTCTGCCTACTAAGGAGCGTCTAGAGGAAGCGCTGGCGTTTCTTCAGTCCTTGGACCTTGAGTCGATGTTGCGAGAAGCAGAGATCCAGGCGAGGGCTGCAGCAACGAGAGAGGACAGTATATCGAATAATACTCCTGCTGTTGGTTCAGCACCGCAACCGCTTTTTATTAATCTAATATCTCTACATGCCCTTCCCAAGGCCAAAGCTGCCACCATTCTTCACGCCAAGCCCGTTGACAGCACGTCTCGTCTGTACCCATTATGCGTCAGTTTGCGGAATAAGTTTATTGAGGCTGGTTTTATACAGCAGGAGACGATCAAGCGCTCTCCTAGATCCAAGAACAAAGCCAGTGAGCTCACCGGTAAGGACAATGCGGGTGGCGGATCGGATTCTCAGGGTTCCACGGGAGACCATGGGGGCAATAATGATAATAGCGGTAATGTCGGCGCAGCCTCGTTGCCAGTTCAAGGAGAAGCAACAGCAGCATCGTCGGATGGAAAACGGGTAAAACCACGTCCGCTCCTTCTGCACGCCACGATTGCAAATACGGTCTATCTACCCCGGCGCAAGCAGCGAGGTGCGAAACGCAAGGAAACGCTCAAGTTCGACGCACGGCCGCTTCTGGTGAAATTTGGCGATTATGTACCCCCGACTGTAGATGTAGATGTCAGTGATCATGAGCCTGCAGAAAGTCAGAGCTGGAACTTATCGTTAGAGGTTGAAGAGGTTGAGGAGAAGGAAAAGAAAGAGGAGGGGGAGAGGGAAGTAGAGGTAAAAGAGAAAGATGTACAGGTGCAGAAAGAGAGAAAAGCGCCTTTTGTCTGGGCAAAGGATATTCCCATTGATCGTGTTTGTATCTGCGAGATGGGCGCGAAGCCGGTGCCTGATGATGGTGCGAATGGTGGGCCATTGTTGGGGGAGGCCTATGTCAGTGTCGGGGAGAGAAGTTTGGTATTTGCGCCGCAGATGAGGGGAGATGGAGATGGAGATGGCGACGGAGATAATGGAGACGCGTGCCGATCGGAGGATGGGGGTGTTAGTTTAGCTTAGCCGGTGTGGTTCTGGTTCTACGGGATGATATGTGGTGGGAATATTCCAAAGGCTTTGTGAAAAAGTTAGATGTCCGTATATGTAGAGGAGCAGGGCTGAGTTGGAATACCTGAGTATCAGCCAGAATATATATGTATGAATCAATTGTTTATAAATGGCTACAAAACATTGTCAATAAAAAGCAACCTCGAGCGCCTATTCCAATCCGTTGGTATACCGTAAGATAGCTTTAGAAGACACAAAATGCGAAAGAAAAGAAGGGAAAAAAGATTCCACGGAATTTATACACCGTGCAACGGAATAGGGCCACCATTTTGCCCCTTTGAAAGGATAACAAGAAGTAAAAAGAATAAAAATGATAAATGATAAAAGCAATAAAAATGGGCAGTCTCTTTCCCAGCAGTGGACACAAAAAAAGATCATCGTACTTTGCCCATAATCGTTTCCACCCCGCGCTCCACAAATAATTCCGCAGCCTTAGCCTTCACAGCACTGACCATAGACCTCTCAAAATCATCTCGACTTCTTAACACCGCTTCAACCCACGACAGCTGCAAGTCCCAATATTCAGTCTTAAAAGTCTCATAGACCGCGACAACGCCTGCCGCCTTCTCCGCCTCCAGGAGCCTAACAAGCCAATCGACTACCCGCCACCGATCCTTAATTGTAGCAGCAAACGCATCCGGGAATTTCTGGAAGAACGCAAAGACGGTCAAGATGTCGTCTTTAAACTTATCCGTGAAGGGGTCTTGGCGGCGGAACTTGGCTCCCTTGTTGCGGATGGCTGACAGGTAGCGCACCAGCAGCTCATCGGAGAGTTCCTCAATGAGAATATCCGTGAGACTCGGGTGCAGC